TAAGAGCTATTTAAAAAACTATGCGATATTTTGAAGCTTCTTTAGATTGGTTTTTAAAATTCATATAAAATTATGTACATTTGCAAATCAACATTTAAATGATTTATATTATTTTTATTATTATTAAAATCTAACAACTAATAAGGCAGTTAATTTATATTTCTATAATCCTTAACCTAATCTCTTCTCCACAATTTGTATTAATTTGATTTTTTCATAAACTCACAGAAATCAATATTCCTTTAATCTTCCTCAACTTAAATCAAATGATTTTGCTATAATTAATCAAGAAACCTTTTACTTAACCCCAAATTAATTACATTTTCCACTCAACCCCAATAGGATAACATGATCCTTCCACCAAATACTATACTAATTCACTCAATTCCCACAAATGGAGACACACACACAGATCCTTAAGCACTCCCAAGGGGTTTAATGTTGTTCACCCGCTGACAGTTTACAAGTTATTCAAACGCAAATGTTTAAACAATAAGCAAATAATTCTCGGTGCACATGTCACACAAATCAAAGAGACCCAGCCGTCGCCCCCCGAAAAAGGTGGCCAACACCCAAGGGGCCAACTCTACATTTTGGCCAGAAACTCCATTCAATTGCTATGCAAATCAAAGCGAGCTGCGTAATGAGCCGCAACCGTAACCGAATCGAAATCGGAATCCAAAATCCAAAACCCAAAACCCAAAAGCAAAAAGGGGGGATTTTGTACATTTGCCACTTGACTTACATGTGTTTGTCGCTGATTGTTTTAATGGGTCACCACTGTACTAGATGTGTGTGCTAACTGTAAACTGGTTTCAATGGATCGCACAACAACACCCCAGTACAGGCACAGACATAACACTAAGTGCACTCTTAGAAAATGTAATTTATTTAATAAGAAATTTTGGGGAGAACTTATTTATACTTTTCCAGGAGAGATTTATATTTAAAGGTATATATTTTCTATGTTAAATATTTTTAAAATTTTTAATTTGAGTCTCAAATCTTTGTTTTAAGATTCTTTTTCAAGTGCACTCCTAACACACACACACATTTCAACAAAATGCCAATTGCCTAATGTCTTTAGCCGAGCTGACCCAAGCCTCACTTGTCGATGGGCTTTCATGACATATTAGCCAAAAGGTTTTGGCTGCTGTCTGCCATTTATGTTTTAACTGCAAATGGCCGTTGATTTCATTTAGGGCCAGGCCAAGCTAATCGCAAGTATTTCTAGTTGCTGTTGCCACTCAGCTGCTGTGGCCAAGTTGCAAGTTGCAAGTTGCAACATCCATTGCCGTGTGTCACGATCCTGAAGGCGAGGAAATCAAACGAAATAAAAGTCAATGCGGCAGCATATGTGAGGAAAACCCCAAAGAAAAATATGGGAAAATATGGGGATTTAAATAAATACTCTTATATTAAATACTATAAATAAATTATATTACCAAATTATATATCACTATACAATTGATTTGTTACTATATTTTATGAATATCTTTCAGAGTTTCTTTAAATATTTATTAACCGATTTATTCAAAAGATTTATAAAGGGAGAAGATTACTTTTGAAAGAGTTATTACAACAAAACTGTATAAGAATAATATTTATTTAAGAATATATTTATTCAAATATACCAAGGACTCTTATTATATTTATTAACTGATTTATTTTATATTTAGTTCCCTATATTAACTATAAATAAAGTCATTTAATTGTTTCATTAATTATTGATTGAATTATTTAATAAATACTTCCATTATTAACTTTTCTTAAAATATATTAATTTGCTTCATAAAGTATTTTATTTGCTCAAGCTTTAATAACTTAAGTTTAAATACTATAAATACTTCTTTAAATATTTGTTTAATGCCATAAAGAAAATCAAATTTCTTTAATACAATTTCACCCCACCGTACATCTTATTTGAAGTTAATTTTAATATATTATGAAATAATAATACTTCTACAATTTGTAACATAAATTACTGAACATGTCCCCGAGATATTATATTAATTTAAAATTTCCCCATCTATAAATCCCCTTTTAACCTTTTATAGAAAATTATGCCATATATGAATATCAAACTATGAATGCCCCCATTTAAGGGTATCGGAAAAGCTCAGTTAAATCTGTGAAGGTGCCATGCGGAGTTATGGTTATGTGAACAAGCAACACCAACAACTTGCAACTTGCAACTGGCAACAGCAACAAATATCGCATTGAAAATCGCTGCAAATGAGGCAGCGTGAAAAATGCGCGACTGTCGAAATTGTTTCTGGAAAAACAAAAAAAAAAAAGGTATAGCAAAAATATCAACCAAGTAGCAGTGGCAGCTGCCCAAAAGGGGTTAGTAGGGGGCGAATGGGTAAACACTTGCAATCGGTTGAGCATTCACATGGGAAAGAAAAAAACGACGGGCAGCAGTCAGCAGGTTGCCGAGCCCAGCAGCAGCAGCAGCAACCGCAGCAGCAACAATATCTACTGCAGCAGCAGCAGCAGCAGCAACTGCAGCAGCAACTGCAACAGCAGCGACAGCAGCAACATTTTGACAGCTCTTTGCTGCAATTGCAACTTTATTTCACTTTTCGTCCACCAACTATTTCCAAATAATATTTTTCCACCAAATGTCAGTGTGACTAAATTGTGACATAAGAGAGAAAGGGCACAGGGACAGTCAGGGGTCACAAGGAAGAGTTGGGAATTATTATCACAGGAGTTTTTTAATTAATTAAAACGATTGCATTTTGATGTTTAAAATTAAATATTTACATATCTTATTTAATACATTTTTCATATTTTAAAGAATTTCTTAAAGAGGGATTTATGCTTAGCATGTTAACGATATTAATAATAATAGAAACATATCTCCTTTTAAAAACACACCTTATATAGTTAAAATATCAATGAATCAATTCGAATTTTGATCAATTTTAGTGATGGAAATGAAACAATATTTATCGTCTCATAAGACTTTATCCTAAAAATAATGCGATTTCCTTTAATTCTTCTAATTTCATTAATATTTAATTCAATATGTTTTCTAAATTAGTTGCATATTTGTATTAAAGTTCAAATAAACATTTCTTTTGCAACTAATCCAATTCTTTATTTAGTTTTAATATAACAAAATATATTACATTATCATATATCTCATCTCACTCTCATTAATCAATATATCCAACTATATAAACTTCCTACTTGTTGCACCTGTCGTATCCAATGCAAATCGGCCCCCAATAGAGTTATAACTGAATGAAAATGAATGACCATTAATTTATCTAACGTTCCAAGTCTCAAGTCTTGCAAAAAAGTGTATGAAATTATTTAAAAATCATTTGCCAATGGCAATATGTTGCATGCGTGATCTATTTAGACACGAAGCAGGTTAGCATTTTGGCATATTTGTCTTGCGTGGCCACAAAAATATATTCCCACGTTCAGTTTTTTGTCTTTTCTTTTTCATAGCTTTTTGCTTAATTGAATTCATTTTGGCCAATGAAATAAAGCAAAATGTGAACGAGAGTTGGTGAAACCATTTATCATTTATTGCCAGAGATCGTTGGCCATATTTAGTCGTATTTATTGGCAAAACAAATTGATTAATTGATTTGGGCATTTTGCATGCGGCTCTCTCGTCTTAATGAGAACTTGACGTCTCATTGAGAACTGTTGCCCCCAGTTTCATTCCACCAGATGATCGATGAATGAATGCAAAAGGTGATGCTGGAACGAATGAATGCTGGAATGAATGAATGAATGAATGTGCATGGGTTGATTACAAAAGAAAAATATAACAGGAGACCAAGCACTGAAAGAAATATTTGAATAACAAAAGGTGAGGAAAATTATTGGTATTTTTTGGAAAGAATTTAAAACCTTTGAAGTTCTTTTTATGATCATTTTTAGAGATCTAAGGTAGTTAGGTAGGTTACAGTGGTGAGGTATGGAGATCTAAAGCTGTTGGATTCTTTGATTTTATAAATCCTCTGAAATCTGGTGCATTTTCTTCTTCTTTTTTTTAAATATATACCGCCTGAATTTTCTCCCAGTGTTTTCTGGATAAATTGCCTGCGTAACATCTTGAATTGGTAGCCCAGAAATCGATGTCAGGGACAAGTTGAAAGCGCACGAACCTCGCCTGCTGTCTCTGTCTCTCCTCTCACCTGCACTGGCTCACCTGCGATCTGAACTCTGCACACTCATTAATCATGGTTTTGGGTTGGAGTACATAAAGAGAGAGAGTGCCAAAGGCAGATGGTTTGGGGGAAATACTCGGTTCAAGTGCGCTCGAAGCGCCAAAAAATAAAAGAAAAAAATGCTGGCTGCTTGCTTATTTGTTTGTTAACTATGCTTTTGATTACATAATTCAAAACAAATCACGAGAAAGTATAACAAATTTTGATTAAAGTCGATGATGGGATACTCTTAAAGATAGAAAGTGGGTCGATTTCAATTTCATTTGTCTTAAAATATATTTTAGAATAAATATTTTAAAAAATTCATAAGGTTTTTGAAAAGATTTAAAAGCTTAAATTGTCTTATTTTAAAAAGAAATAGTATATCCTATGAAATAACTTTAATTTTTAACTTCTTCTTGAAATTGTGGTATTAAAATTCATATAAAATATATTTTAATATAAGAAATCTTCCCATTTATATAGTATATACTTCCTCTTTATATAAATCCCATCTCAAACCCCCACAAAAATTGAATTTTCCAATTGATTCGATCAGCAAATGTAACCTTCAATTGCGGTTAAGGGGGTAGAGTCTTTCGACATGAACCCACTAGAGGCTTTCGTTGGAGCCACTCGAGCCTTGTGTGTTAATATCTCTAACTGGCCCGGGGGTGTCCATGGTGCAGTGCAGCCTTTTGCGTTGGCTTCCGGACAAGGCCACTATGTAAGATTTTTGTGGGGCATTTTTCGCTCTATAAAAGTGAAACCACGACCTGGTTGTGGCATCAGTTCGACGCTTTGGCTCATCTCCATCAGGTCAACATGAAAATCTTCGTCTGTTTGCTGGCTCTGGGAGCTGTGGCCCATGCAGGATTCATTGGAGGAGCAGGTGGTGGCGGTGGAGGAGGATATGGCGGTGGATCTCACCATGGCGGCGGCGGCGGCGATGGAGGCTACAGCTATGGCGGTGGCTCTGATCACGATCATCATCATGGAGGTGGTGGAGGTGGTTCCCCGCCCGTCAAAATCATCAAAGTGATCCACGAATCCGCTCCAACTGGTGGTGCAGGAGGCTGGCAATCAGGAGGAGGCGGTGGTGCTGGAGGTTGGCAATCTGGAGGAGGCGGTGGTGCAGGAGGCTGGCAATCTGGAGGAGGCGGTGGCTATGGAGGTGGAAGCTCCCATGGCAGTGGTGGCGGCCAGGAGATCAAGATCATCAAGATCATCTCGCAGCAAGGATCGGCTGGTGGTCATGGAGGCGGCTATGGTGGTTCATCTGGCGGCGGTGGATATGGTGGCTCATCCGGTGGTGGTTGGTCTTCGGGCGGTTCTGCCGGTTGGTCAGCGGGTGGTGGTGCTGCTGAAGCTCCCACAGCTGTGAAGATCATCAAAATTATCTCCGAGTCGGACTCTGGAGCTGGTGACGCTGGTGGCTGGTCTTCGGGTGGTGCACCCAGCGGTGGTTGGTCTTCTGGTGGTGCACCCAGCGGTGGCTGGTCTTCGGGTGGTGCTTCCAGTGGTGGTTGGTCACCTCAGGGTGGTGGTGCCGGCAGCTGGTAATTGTGATATTTAAACCATAACCACCGTTCCATTATTTGTCATTGTCCTCCACATTTTCATTTCCATTCTTTGTTAAATCTTCATTCCACCATATTTGTTGAATAAAAAACTTCTGTTTGATTATTATTATTAAAAAAGAAAAGAAGTGTTTAATTTACCAAAAAAGGAGCAGCAACCCAAGAAATCCTTTTACAACTTTTCAATTTAAAACAGAAAAAACTCTAGAAGGAAAATACATAGAAAAACAGCCAAGAATTTTCCCATTCCCTGTTTTTTTCCTCCTTTTTTTCCTCTAAGAAGCACACTTAAGCGTTAAGTAATAAAATGCAAGCAAAGCTGGGCAGAGAAAAAAAGGAGCAGCCAAGAAGGGACTGAGTAGGAAAAAAAAATGGAAAACTGTCGGAAAATATGTAAAATATCACTTTTGACTAGCCGGGAAAGTCTAGCCACCCTCGAAAAGGGAGCCAAGAGTTTTTCGCGCAGCGGGCGGTGGCAGGAAAATGGGGTTGGGGTTGGGAATTCATTGGGTTGCATGTATAAAAATATATATTTTCCATATAAATCTAACAAAGGACGTGTTCGGGTTACTTGATTAGGGCCACGACAAGGAGTGGGCAAAACATTTTCTTCGCTTTTCTTTTCTTTTTATATTTTTTTGGGTGGCAAAGTGGAGTGCCTACGAAAAGGATAAAAGACAGGCTTGGGTTTTCTTTCGGTTTCCTTGAAAGAACTTTATATATATATATATATACAATAAAAGCAATAAAAGAAAAGTGAGCAATTTGTTGCTGAAGATATGATAGGTTTGATTTTTCTGTATTGATTTATTTCCAGTTGTGGAAGTGTATATATCATACTATAGATATTTATTTTGTTTTCTTTTTTGGGCATTTTCCATTGAGGGGAATTGCGCAATTTTCTTGGCTGAGAAGAATTATAAAAACAATCATTAAACATATTTATTCTCTCCCACTCAATAGCCATCAACTTGTTGCCGGGGCATTGTAAACAAAATAAACATTTTGGTGGAACATTCCACACACACACACACACACACACACATATGTATATATATTACTTAATATTCATTCTTGGATACAAAATACAAATCTCTAAACAAATACTGAAACGAAATAATTTTTATGAGTTAAATGGAAGAATGTTTTCCATTGAATTGCAAACAGTTTTTGGCGGGGAAATCTATGGTATGGGGATTTATTTTTGAAAAGTTGGGAAGGGTATATATAATTTGATCAGGAGTTTGTAGAATATATTTATTATTAGGGATATATTGAAATATATTTAAACCATTTAACTAATGCAGGAAAATTTTATTTTTTCCATAGAAATTGGTATAAATCTTTATATAAAGTCAAAGTCAAGGTTGGGCTTAGAGAAGTCTTAAACTATACTTCAAATCTATTTATAAATTGGTCAAAATTTTGTAAATTTCATTTATAAATAATTGTGAATACTTTTAGAAGGTATTATAAAAATATTTCCTATATATTTTCCTCCAAAACCATTCCTCTTTGTAAACTTTTCCTCACAGAATCCACAATTTGTAAATGTCTTTTACAAATAATTGTAAATACTTTAAATTGATATTATATATTTATTTCTTATATATTTTCCTCGTACTTCGTACATATTCCCAAATAAAATTTAATAACAAAGAGTATCTCATACTTTTGTTGCCTTGATTATATTTGTCTTGGTGCTTTTCTTTCATAAAAAATTTTTGTTATTATTTTAATTTTACTTATTGACTGATTGCTGGGCATTGTTGTTGCCAGCACGTGCAGCATTGGGCTCAAAAAACTGGAAAATTGCGTGTTTACCAAAGAACAACAAATGCCATGAAGGAAAATCGGCGTCGGCGTCAGTGTCGTGGGTGGAATCTGTCTGTCTGTCTGTCCTGTTTTCCCAGTCCTGTTCCCCTTTGTCATCAGCTGCTCCCTGAGAGTCAACCTCTCATCTGTGTTGACTGAATCGCTTTTCAAGTGTGTTTACTGTGGGCGCGTGTGCATCCGTATACCGCCGAATCAGAGAGAATCACAACAAACAAATGCAGAAAATACACAATCAATGAGGCAAAAGCAAACAGTTTAAGCTCCCCTCGGAAGTCGTTATTAAGAAGTTCACCCGCTGGATCAGCGCCTCAAACCTAAACCAAAAAAAAGTAATTTCAAATTGTCTGGCTGATATATACTAATATATATATATGTATATAGTTTGATATAAAAGGGATGAAGTGCCAGTGTTTCATTCATTGATTGAGTTCATAAAAAAAATAAAGCTTGATGAAGGTTGACAGATCAACGAATAAAACCTATATTTATTCATTTAATGAATTCTGAAATGTTATGATTAAGTTTTGAGATAAGAATGCTAAGGTTATGAAAGATATTTTTGGGTTTCTGGGGAGTTTATTGTTCATGGAAATAAAAGGTTTGAAGGATTAAGAAATTCTGAAGAGTGTGCATTAGTTTATTAAATAAAAACAAATATTTTATTACTTAAAGAATGAGTTAAATATTTTGATTAAGTAAGAATATCATTATAAATAGTTTGGTATTATTTACTAACTCCAAAGGAATCAAATTCAATTTCAAGCCTTAGGGGATTATAAAACAAGAAAAGGTGGTTGAAAATCTCTGAAAACTGCTTTAAAATCCCCTTTCTTCCCCCCTTATAGTGTTATAATAACATCTAGCAAATTGACCATTCATCACATCCCCTTTTCTTTCAATTGCCATGATTTGTTATTGTCTACTTGAGTTAGTTGAGTTTTGGGGAAATTGGTTTGATTTACTCAACCGATGGGGTGTCCCTCAGAGTCCTGTCCAAGGAGTCTGTCTAGGACACTATTTTCCTCTTGTTCTTGTTGTTGTTTTTGGCTGGCTGAATTTTCGTCTGGTCGACGACACCGTCGTTGTCACCATTACCATCAACCGGATCGTCGCCACTCGTCTTGGGTTCTTCCAGACGTGCACGACGCCGCCGTTTGTCGCCATTAACTGTCCCGGAGACGCCTCCACTGTTGGTGCCACCAGTGGCAAAGTCAGTGCCACCCATCAGGCAACCATTTGCCATCACAAGTTGTCGTCTCATCGATTTCCCCTTCTGCTAACCCATTTTCCTGTCGCCTTTTGTTGGCTGCCAAAAACACACAGAAACAGAAAAAAGGCGAACGAAATCGTTGTATAGCCAAGGCACAGAATAAAGTTTTAGCTAAGAAAAAAATATATAAAAAGAAAAATAAAAAACATGAAAAGTGCAAGGCAATAAAAAGGCAAAAAAAAAAATATTATTACTAATTCATTTTGGAATAGTTTTCCTTTGCAGCCTTTTTGGTTTTCCACACAAAATCTACTTGATTTTTGGAAAACTTTCTTTTAATTTCAATTCTTTCTGAGCAAGGATTCTTTTCGAGATATTTAATTTGGTTTTTTATAGAGAGTATTGGAAATGGGATGGTTTTAAGGCTGTAGTTAATGAAAACTGGTATCTTGTAGGTATATATTTTATAGATTTGAAATTATATTATAATAAAAATAAGGCTGAATTTATAGACTTAAAATTATATTATAATAAATATACATAAGGCTGCATTTATAGATATGAAATTATATGATAATAACAAAAAGACAGCATTTAAATTAAACATTTTATAAGCTCTTCTTTCCCATTATTTCTAGCACAACTTCTTATAAACATTAATGCAAAAAATATTACTAATATCTTATAATAAAACCTTTTAGTTCCCCTGTTCTATATATCTGTTTTTGTAATATAAAAATGTATAGAACATATATTAAAATATATATTTAACAAGAAAGGAAGCTAACTTCGGCACGCCGAAGTTTATATACCCTTGCAGATAGAAATTCTATGACTAGGAATCCATACAATATAAATTATATATATTTGTGTTAAAAAACAATGAAGTAATACCTGCTTTCATTTCATTCACCTATACATATTATATTTGCAGCTTTTCGTTCACAGATTTCCATTTTTCTTCTACATCAAACAATAGTTTGTATGGCACCTATATGATATAGTCGTCCGATTTTCATGAAATTTGACACAAAATTTAAGACTAATATAAAATGGCTACACCTCAAATTTGATGAAAATCTGTTGAAAACTGAAAAAGTTATAATTTTTAATTGTATTAATTTCTCGATCGTTCCTATGGGAGCTATATGATATAGTAGTCCGATTTTCATAAAATTTTATACAAAATTGTAGAGTATAATAAAATGGCTATATCTCAAATTTGATCCAATTCTATTGAAAACTGAAAATGTTAAAATTTTTTTTGTAAAAATTTTCCGATCATTCTTATGGCAGCTATATGATATAGTCGTCCGATCCGGCCCGTTCCGACATATATACGAGTGAGAGTATATAGAAGGCTAACTACAAAGTTTCATTCAGATAGCTTCAAAACTGAGAGACTAGTTTGCGTAGAAACGGACAGACGGACAGACGGACAGAAGGACAGACGGACAGACGGACAGACGGACAGACGGACATGGCTAGATCGACTCGGCTGTTGATCCTGATCAAGAATATATATACTTTATATGGTCGGAGGTGCCTCCTTCACTGCGTTGCAAACTTCTGACTGAAATTATAATACCCTGCAAGGGTATAAAAAGAGTATCCCTTAGCCACTTTCACCTGCCCTGTTTTTTCGATTATCGTTAAATGTTTTCAGGTGCACACTTGGTGATTTTTGCTGCGTCTGCCGGTTTGTTCCCCCAACCCAGCAAAAGTACTCCTCATCAGTGTCTGGGCCAGTCATAAGTAATTTATCAAGATACAAAATTGCAGTTGCCCGGCGACAACCATCGCCGTCTGTCAATGCCAATCAGTGGCAAAGGCGGTGTGAAGTATGAGTGAATGTGAATGTGAATGTGAATGTTTGAATGTATGAATGCGAATGTGAATGAGTGCCGGGCGTGAATGATATCCAAAGGCATTTGTCA